AGCTCCACACATACCCTCGTCCGAACCTAGCGAGCCACTAGGAAGTCACGAGGGAGCCAAGTCCTGCTCGCAGGTTCTCTTGGCTTTTTCCTTCAGGTAAACACGTCCAGGAATCCAGTATCCGCAGCCGCCGCAGTAGTACTACTACTGTACTGTGTAGTAGTAGTAGGAAATCCAGGTTGTACGCCGGTTGTCCAAACAAAAGATTATTTGTGATTCCGTGAGAGAAGGAGATACCACCGCCGTCGAAGGGTCGAGGGCACTGTCTGCCAGATGTAGGCTGTGAGATAGATCGTGCCACTTATGTGTTCTTAGCCTGCCCGCCCGTGAGGGTCGTGACGAGGCCGCCATGCTGTTTGTGTGCGTGCACCTCTCACGTAGATTGAAGCGCATATACAAGTGAAATCCCGGGGCCGTGTCCGATATTTCCCCGGGAAACACAGCTAACGTAAAATAACGTCCCTTTTCTCCGCCCCGATCATTGAACGTCACTGAGGCAATCGCCGCAGCGAACCAAACATCGCCTCCACCTACTCTCTCCCTTCTGTTTCCCTCTCTCCCTCTTTCTCTCTCTCTGATACCCGTAAGTACAGTAGCAATCAAGACAAGATAGCCACGGTTGGCGAGAGCGGACGCGCGAGGTATGAAAGACCAGCCTTTTCTCAACGATCCTGCTGCCTACCCCGAGTTCTCCCTCCTCATCAAACGCCAGAGCCTGCAGCACGCGATACGACAGACCCTCCATCGGCAAAGGTGAGGACTTCCGGCTTTTCTGCATATCGATGTTCTTAGCAACGCCTATGCCACCGAACCACCTACACCAGCTTATCTACACAAGATTGTTGATGATGGCGAGTTCCTCCGCACTTTAGACTATTCTGTACATTTGTGGTCCGCTTGGGCATGTCCTTGTGCTCATTTCTGCTACGTTTCACAGACCCACACGTCGTCGGTTTCCTAACCAGTTGCTCACACGTCTTTTCTGCCTTTACAGGCGTGATTCTCTAGCGCATTTTGTTTCAGGTCGAGATGCAGATTGTTTTTCCAAGTTTGTTTACAATACCCCGAGGGAGGAAGTCTCAACATTCAACGGCTTGTTCAAACCCACCATCCTTCCATATACAGCGGTTGGGTCGTCTAGCTGGTAGAAGTGGAGGATAGGGGCCAGAGGGGCAGATGACACAGTCCGATGATGGGAGAAAAAAAAACAAACAAAAATACAGCGCTCCGCACATTTTTCACCCTCCAAAAGGATTGCGGTGTGTTGAAGAAGCCAAAGGTCGATAGTCTAAGTCACGAGTTTTCCGTGTACTCAGCACTCACAGAATGTCGTTCGAATCCATAGTCTAGATCAGGCGTACACATTTCCAATTTCGCCGAGGGGGAACATGTCAGCATTGCCACCTTGGCAGCTGCAGCAAACAAGTGGGGCGTCAAACCACAGGGGGATGAGCTGGAGATACAAAAAATGTATATATTGTGGGAAGGTCGGAGTCTTTGTAGCTGCAGTCTTCGTCAGGGAAGCTTGAAACTTGATAGGGCCCTTCGGAGGGGCATCCGGTAGTGGCGTTGTGACACTCTCAGACATCCGTCGCTTGGCCACCTCCCACCTTGGACTGCGGTACGATCGAGGTCGGGTTAACCCCCTTACCACGCACAGAAAATTCGGAGTTCTTGCGAAATTTCTGAAGTGTAAGAAAAAGAGCGAACGACGCCTGCTGATTGGATGGTGCAGACAGTTCCATCCCTGGGTGCAAGTGCAAAGCTGCCTTCCCACTTGAGCCGTCTCTTGTCTATAATCCCTATCAAATGTCCCCTCGAATCGAGGGGGTATTTGATAGGGATGATAGAGAGTAACTGGCGGGAGCGTGGTAAACGGGGCACGAAAAGGTGGTTTTCAAGATATTTCTCAAGAGGGAAAGCGAGACCTTCTACCCCAAGCCCTGGGTTGCCCGGTGCCTCCTATTAACGGTGGGCTAGGTACTTATTCCGCGCTTGCCCCTAGTAGCGCTTTCCACCCAAGGGTAGACAGACGCGGCGCAACTTCGCTGTTGAACCCGCGGCGTAATCGCCCCCCCGATTTGTCCTGTTCATTACCCTCATACTCCTCCACTCTGCAAAGCACCCATACTAAACTAGAGTCGTCCCCGTGTACCCTGGCACCCCCCTGGTCGAGTAGTTCAAAGGAGGAGACAATTGTGCCATTCTTCGCGAGGTAAAGCAGGTGAAGAAGATGGGGACAAAAAGTGTCCCCGTAAGGCGATCTAGCCCTAAAGGGGGTGAAGCGGCGGTATGGCTAGATTGCTTCGTTCATGGCATCAGCTAAGATTCAGTTCTAGTCGGAAGCACTCCTCAATTGCAAGAACAGTGAACGGCGGTGTTGTCAATATTTAGCCTGTTCATTCAGTTGACTTGCAAACCCATTAGCGGCATCCTTTCCGCCACGAACGCTTTCCGCCCTGCGGATCGTCTCAAGCTTTTTCTTGAGGTTGTTGTTTCCCGGCGAACACACATGGTTGGATGCTCCGAGAGTTATTGGCACAGCTGGGTTTGGACGTACCGTAGTCCTTTGGGGGGGTGTCCCGGGCTAACGTACCGTACCCTTACAGTCCTCGCAGTTCATGCGTCAGGACAGAGACCTGGAGTTTGTGTGCCAGGGGCTTCCGCCGAGCCGGGGGACCGGTTCCTAGCATTTACAAAACGAGGGGGGCGGGTGAATGTTTCACCTCAAGCTCTCCTCGCGCGGTACCGCTGATTGTGCAAGCGTGCTGATGGGAAGGGTACTCGGTGAAAATTGCTCCAAGACGAAGAATTGTTTTACATTTGTAGCCTTCTCAAGTGTTTGTTGCCTGCATCCATCTTTCGACCGCTCCAAACTCCCTCTGGCTCCAAACTCCCTCTATCAGGACGAGTGCTCTGCTTGTCGTGGTGGCGATGTCCATCGCGGCCTCGGGCGGAGACGGCAGCGGTCGCAGCAACAGCGCGGAGTGGGGGGTGTACCTCGCCAAAGGCATGCACCTTACACTCCTCCAGAAGCACTTTGAGGGCATAGTGTCAGCGCTGGGATGCATGTACGTGTGGCAAACATGAAATCGTTTTCTTCAATGGGCCTGCTTCGCTGTATTGCCGACGGTTATGCCTATTTCCAACCATATTTCCGCCTAAAGTACCACTGGTGATGGGGATTGGAAACGGCAACACCTTACGGCAACCAGCGTACCCCGCGATTCCAGCCGACGTACACTGTACGTTTTCGCTATTTTGCAGCGGGGAAGTTCAACTATCCATGATGTGTATGTCGATAGGCACCAGTTTATGGCGTACCCCCTCTGAGCTCAAACCTCCGTATGTACCAAGTTAAAGGAGCATCAGTAATAACACACGTATGTCGGTGGTGTCTCTGTCAGGGCCAGGAACATTGGCCGGTTGGTTTCGAAAGGCATGAATGTTCATCATCGTGAAGTGAGCAAGCACCACACCGCAAGGCGTGATCCTTTTCCTTACGACTTCGATCCGCATGCATGTGCTACATCACCTCAAAACCGAAAAAATCGTTTTGTTTCTGACAAAATTCTGTATGGCGTGCATGAAACAGGGCGATGGGGACCGTAACGTCGTTCTTGGTGTACCCCATCTACCAGCGGTGTTCTCCAGCGGCCATTCAAAATCCAAGAGGTGCGCAGGAGGGAAAAGCGCTGGGTCGGCTCAGAGTTTTCAGGCTTGTGCATCCAACGTCGAAACAATCCCGACAGCGCGGTCGTCCAACGCTCGTGACTGCCACGGTACAGTAGTAGATGCCAATCTTGGGGCGCTTTTTTTGTTGTTTGTTTCCCAGAGAGAGTCTACATTAATGTGCCAAAGCTTTGTTTCAAGCACAAAACGGAACCGCACCGCTAGCAGGGGCTGCCAAGAACCCAATGGCCATCGAAACGTTTGAAGCGTGTTCTCCAGGGAATTGACCAAGGGCGCGAGAGTAGTGAGTTGAGGGATGTGCCAGTGGAGGTCGGTACGAAAACAGTCGTTGTATACTTGCGCTCTGTTTTTCACGTCGAGTTCCGACTCGAAAATCTCAACACCGAAACCGCTCCGGCCACTACTCCCCCGCCAAACTGTCGGTACTCTGGCATCCCATAGCCGACACACTTGAAGTTCCCTCCGTCAGAAAACTGAAGCACACGCCCCGAAACGGCTTCCATGACGAATTGTGCCCGTGTGGTCTGCGGCACTATCTCGTGTTGTGTACACGGGAGATACTTTTTTCCCTAGCGAGACAGACCCCTTGTACGATGATGGGGTTGTCACTATTTGGATGAAACCACGTGTCCGAAACCGATTTTCTGGCTGCGTGAAAATCGACCGTATCCCCGGCAATGTGGATGTGCCCGTTCAAGAAGGACTTTCGAGAGAAAATCGGAGTTTGCCCCCAATCAGGACCTGGGTCCATCAGGTGGTTCTTGGACATCGAACCGGTATCAGCTGAGAGGGATGTACGCCATTTTCTCATCGACTCCCAGGCCTACAATTTTTCTCTTTGCCTCGGCGAACAGTCGTAGTACAGAGTGAGGTGTTTGGTCCCAGAGAATTCACCTGTTTCCGGTGGTGCCCATGTTTCGGTGTCAAGGGGATCCAGAACCACTTTAGAACGGTGCGGGGCGATTTTTAGTGTTGTGCTCTGTGCGTGACTTTGAGTTTGGCCACAACAGAGATCGGACGCCAATCAACAGCCAACGAGCTAGAATTCGGCTGTTGAATCTTTCCAGGGATGGGCCACATGGCAATCCTTGCGTCGATAGCCTTTGGGGTAATTTGGCTTCTCTCTACATGTTCTCTAGATGGTCTCATGACGTTCCCTGCCCGAAATGGACGACTACGTCGGTAGACAAGAGTGCAAACGACGCGCAAATGTTGTGCTTCCGTCACCGTGCTGCACTTGAAGCAGCTTGCAGAACGCACCTTGCGTAACCCCTAGTTTGTGTATTGTTGTACTCAAGACTTGGTAGGAAACGTGGGTGCCGGGATCAACGTGACCCCCTCTCGCCTCCCTACCCCCACGGTGATACTCGTGCAGCCCCTCCGTGCCGGCGAGTGTCTAGCGCAACAGCCAAGACGATCGCCGCCGCCGTTCCGTCGATGGCCGTGTGGGCCACCGCGGTGTACGCGGCTGGGGTTTACCGCTGGGGCGTCGCTTCGGGGCTATGCGTCGGCCTGCAGTGCGCCGCTCTTACGCTCAAGTCGGTGTCGTTCGTGCAGAAGGCTCGCCCTGTCGCCGCTGAAGCAGCGATCGCCGTGGTGGCGGCGCATGAAGACCTTGATGCGGCAAGGGTGGCAGCAAACGCAGACGACGGCGACCGCGCAGCGGCTGCGAGCGGACAATTAGCAATTTCTCCTGCACGTAGAAGTGTTCTTCAAGGGGATCCCAGGTCAAATCCACCAAGCCCAACGGCGAACGGCGACGACGGTGGCGCCCGCGCGGCCAACCCCGCCCTCACCTTTCGAGAGTTCGCGTTCTTCCTCGCGCTGGCCCCGTCCCTGGTGTGTCAGCCGCAGTACCTCGCGTCGGGGGCCCGAAGGCCGCCTCGCGTCGCCGCCGCTGCCTCCGAGTTCTTGCACGCGGGTCTCACCTACATCGCAGTGCACGTGGCCTGCTCGGCCCTGTTCGCCCCGGCGCTGCGCGTCCTGGCGGGAGTCCTGCACTCTGGGGGCGTCGCCGGCTGGGCGGACGAGGAAGACTGGGCGGAGTTGCGCCGCACCGATGGCAGCGGGTGGTGGTTGTACGACAGCAGCGGGAGCCTCGGCTCGCTCTTCGCGAGCGGCGGAGGAGGTTGCGTGCATGGGGGGGTTGGTTGTGGCCCCGGATGGACCTTTTCCGACGACGGGACGGGTCATCCGGGCTTGACGGTGGCCATCGCTGCGTGTCTTGGTGTGTTCGTCTTCTCGCCGATGATGCACTTCTTGATGTTCTACGCCTTCTTCCACTCGGTGTGCCTCGGCTGCGCGGAGCTTTACGGGTATCCGGACCGGAACACCTACGGTGAGCTCTCGTTCTCATTGGTCGGCGACCGGTTCACCCCTAGTGCGGGTCTAGAAGGACAAGCACTACGGCATGACTCCGCAGGTGACAAGCGTCGCACCACCAACCACAAACGCTTGTTAGGGACGACGCCCCCGTCGAGCAGGCAGTTCCGTGCGTCGCTGCCTTTTCCAAGAGTATCATTTCAGATGCGCTCTGCGTCACTTGATGCGAGCACCGTTCCCTCCCGGAATTCGCGGTGCCTGACCCCTCCGCTGTCGTACGTTTCTCCCGTACACAGACATTCGCGTGATGGTTGTTGCATCCAGGGCGTGTGTACACGACTTCCTGTTTATCGAAGCTGCTGCATTCTATACATTCCACCACTCTTTTTCGTAGAAATGGTGCGGTTGAAAATGACACTACCGTTGGCTGTTGTAACGCACCAGAGTTGCCACACCATGGTGACCTTTTTCCGTTTCGCAACCTCGTTCAGGCCCCTGGTGGCTTGTTGTAGACGATGTCCGCGACTACTTCCGCCTCTGGTCGGCGCCCGTGCACCGGTGGCTGTCGGAGAGCGTCCAGCGTCCGATGATCGAGGTCGGACAGCGGGAGGCACTCCGCCGCCGTCGCCGGCGTGTTGCCAGAGAAGAGGACAAACCGCCCGCAACCAACGGCAATAGCGGCGGCTCGAATGGCGTCCATGACCATCGGCCGAAAGGGACTTCGTCGACCACTGGGTGAGAGTGGGGGCTTCGAAATCTAATCCTCTCTTTTCGTAATCTTGTTTCTTCGGGTATGTGGGTTCCTTTTAATGGTCGTGCGTTGCAAAACAGTACCGTCGAATGTGGTATCGGTCACCGGGTTTTCTTCGACGAAGATTTTCGTGACATTCGACCGGCGACGGGCACCTTCTTCCCATACGATTGGGGTCGAAGACGACATGACCTCGCTAGTCGCTTGTTTCAGGTAGAAATGGTGCGGGGTTTTGAGAGGTAAAGCCACGGGTGCTTATTTTTTTGTCTGTTCTGAGTGACTCTTGAAGCAATAATCAATGGTATACTTAAAGTGGGAGGCTACCCCCCCAGGCTGGTGGTGCGGCCGTTCCACTAGTCTAATTATTTATTTTATTTTATTTTATTTGTTTCTGATTATATTTTGTTTTCTTGTATTTTATCGCTCTGCTGACCCTTGGGGTCCATTTTTTTTTGGTATACCTTTTCTAGGTACGTTATCCTGTGACCACGGAAATTGGCCGAGTCAAGTGATGGATTAGTACGGAGAGATTGAGACAGAAGGAGGTACTGGATAGAAAGACCGGGATGGTTTTTAATGTGAAGACAACAAAAACAACATACTAGTCTAATGCCCCTCTGAATTGAAGGAATTGCTGTCATGTGAGGGTGTAGGGGCTGTTTCAACCAGGGGCTGTTTCAACCATCCACGTTTCGATGACATTGTCGAAACCGTTCGTCTAAATGTCTCTGCGCTCGATTACCCAACTTATCGCGGAAGAAACAGGGGCAAGGCTCGGCACGGTGCTGATGCCGGCATAGTGACGCGGTGGTGGCTGGCTTCGGTCGTGTGCTCGTTTGTCGTGTCGGGCGTAGTACACGAGGCCGTTGGGTTCGTGGCCATGCGGCGCACGGTTTGGCCGTTCAGCACCTTCTTCCTCGCCGTCACCGCGTCCATGGCGCCGTTCTGGGACACGCTGTTTCCCGTTGTGGCGGACACGAGCACCCCCGGCACACGGCCTACGGGCAGGCGTGCGTTCGCATCCATTGCCGCTGGTGGGAGTGACGGTGGTGGAACCTCGGCCGAAACGGAAGCGGAGAATTCTGCAGCAGTGCCCAGCACGGCCGCGAGACCAACCACAGCGCAAGGTACAGTCAACGCGTGTAGCGGGAATGATATTGGCGCTGAGAACGGGGAGCCCGCCGATGGCCAGCATGCGGGCCACCCTTCGAAGGGTGTTGCGAACAAGAACCGGGTTGTGACTGGGCAGCAGGGGAGTGAGGCCCCACGCTTGGGGAGGAAAGGAGCTCCCTGGCCGAAGATTGGCCGTCGGAGAGGTTGGGCAGCTGCCGTAGTCTACGGTGGGATGTACATGCCCCTAGCTTTGGTTGTGGACTATTTTGTGTGGCAGTGGTGGCGACACACCCATATGGCCGAGTGATTTTGTGACAAGTGTATGACCTGTAGGGAGTCCCGCGCCCTAGCTCTCGAGCAACGTTGCTGATCGTACAAACCGGAGTGCCTCGTGGATCGCGTAAGCAAATGTGTTCGATGATTGGTATTGTCTCTAGTGTATGTGGTGGTGAGAGGTTGTGTAACAGTTGATGTCGCTCAAGTGTCTCGCCCTTTCGAGCAACATGCGTTGTACATACACTACACTGCTGTTGTCTTTCCGAGCTACTCGTTCTTGCTAGACTATGCAGGCTATGCAGACCATAACCGTTGGCAGGTCTACTGGAGCGAACGCGGGTTGAGAAAAAGTGAAAACGCAACAAGGAGAGGCATACGACTCGCCAACAACCACCCGGCAAGGGCCTGCCGATCAAGGTGTCGTAGTGCCACAAGAAGGTCGAATTGATCAAGCGGTTACTGTACTCCGTCAGCGAGCGGTGGTGACTGTGCTGTTGGCAAAAACGCGAGCCTCGCAATCAAGTCCTTACCCCCTAGCGTGGACGTCTATTCCGCTCTACACTCCAACGGTTTGGCGGTGCCCAATCTGTATCACCGGAAACTTCGGCCGGTCGTCGAAACCACTCGCAAAAGTTACGACCGATGGGTATCCAATCCATGGAAATCAGCATTTACATGCGCGCGCGCGTCGATACGTTCCTCTCGCTACTTTGTGTCCAACGAAAGTCGGACCGATTCGTTGACGTCCCTCCCATCTGTCAAAGTATACAACGTGACCATGCCCTGTGCATCCCGCGGAAGCAGCTAGACAGAGTTGATCCCCCCTTCGGACGTACTACAAACACATCGACGACGTCCGCAGCGTTTCCTAACAACTGCGTATGCGTGGTTCCAGCCGTTTTTTTTATTTGCCTGAGTGTAGTGTCGCTGTTTCGATACGCGCCGCCTGTGTGTGTGCTTTCTCAAACAAACAATGCATGAGAAAACATGGCATGAATAGTGGAAAATCGACCCCCCCACTTGCAATATGCCAATCGCACTACGTATGCCACCTACAAAGACCCACCGCTTTCACTCACAAGCAACTACAGCAACTATCGATTCGTCGCGTCGTGCGCTGATAATGTGCACCATCCGGGAAGATTGAAATTATCGACTTCAGGAGCATTCCAGCTTGGCCTTGGGTTACGAAGACACCCGTGGGAACGTGCGCTGGATCTCTACTGGGAAATACAAGGATTGTCCAGGGCATCCTTGATACTTCGAAACACACACACAACTCACTTCATCTTCACCACGAAGCCTCGCCCCCCACACTCATCCGTTCCATTCGTTGACCATCTTTTGGTTCATCTTATCCTAACCTGGCTTCCCTAGCCAAAACCTCAGGATCAAACTTGATCAAAAACACCGTCTTATCTCGCTGCCCCTTCTCCATCTCCACGTTGTGTGCGGAGACCCGCGCCGGCTAACATCACAACACCGGGGTAGAGAGGCATGGCAGGGAGGGCGGGGCGGGGGTGACGGCAGGGCTGTCGATGACATTCAACGATCGCGAGGTAATCTCCAGGAAACCGCCGTTGCGTGTTTCATGAAAATACCGACAAACGGAAAAAAATACCTTACGTTCAAGATTCATCTCTCGTGCTGGATGGAAATTAAATCACGAAGGCATCACGCCAAGCCGCGACGACACGACGGAAAACCTCCCGGCAGATTTCAACGGTCCCAGCAGATTTACAGATACACGGGTCTAGATAAGGAGAAAGTTCACGCCCGACACGAGCCCAACAACGGGCGAAAAAAGGCGTGGTCCTCCAAGACTCGGTACAATCGCCTCTGCTTGAATCAGGATCGGACGCAAGCCGACCAAAAACACAACTGGGCGCCCCTGAGTGAACAAACCAAGCAGGTTGAGACCACATGCGGAACTCACGAACGAGGCTCCGTCCAAGACTCCGGCGATCACACCCGCCACCAGAGCAGCGCAATTCAATTGGCCCAGGTCGGCCGGCACGCTCACGAAACTGTTGGTCATGGGCTGGCGAAAGCGACAACGAGCGGCGAGGACGCCAGCGCGAAGGGATGGGATCGGGGGTGCGCACTCACGCTGTGCATGCCCTAGCTCTTAGGCCATTGACCACGCGCCCTCGAAAGGACTGAGAATTGTTCGCACATGAGGAGGGGGAGGGTACTTGAAAATATTGCGTGTGGATGCTGCATTGAAAATTTCGTAACATGTAGGCGTGACGACATGTGGAAGCTATCAGGAAAACTCTAGACCAATTTGCATACGTTCCCAAAGCGTTTACCATTACCTCTCTTTCGTGAATCATGTACTCGTCCTCGTTTTCCGTACTCCTCTCGAGAGAATCGGCCGTCTTGCCGAATAATGCCTGAGAAGACGCGCATGTTCAAACAAGTGAGTTCCCAAACGCACCATGTCCGTGCTGCGGATGTGACAGCAACACTATACCCTCGGTCGGCCAAAACGCCGCGCGCACCGCGAGGCATCCAGCTGCGTCTCCCGCTATACTTTGTCGACATCGCTGTCCCCACCCACCGTGAGACAGGGTTGTACATAATTGGTGGGATAGGTGAGGAATATGAGTGTCGGTGAAGAGAAAGACGGATGACAGCAGCGAGGGTGCAGGCGGACTGACCTACATACATTTGGTACAGGAATGAGCGACATCAACAGTCGTCTGCGCACACAGCGTTTGGGAAACATCCATCGCCACCTTCGTGCAGGTAGGACGCGCGCTAGTTCGCCGAGAGTAGACAACACAATACTAGGCAATCGCGGATCCCGGGATGACTTGCAAGTCGACGAAAAATGGTGAGTGGCGCCACAATCACGACTCACCTTCCAAACATTGGAGGAAACCCATTGCAGCATCGGCAAGAGGCGGACTCTTCGCTTCTGCAGTCTCTCGCGGAAAGTCTGTAGCTCCAGCACGCGGAGGCCCATGCCGTACCCTGCCTCCTCAAGCCTGCACGCAATCGATCAACAATGAGAAGAGAAAACACCATAGCGGTCGAGATGAGCATGTTGTGCGAAGGCATTCGGACTTGTTCTGTGCTACATGGCACGAACAAAGGTCGGGGGATCTTGTTGCAGAGCTCCGTGGTACACAAATGGACCGAAGCGACCCGCGCGGGCTTAGACGCGTCTTCATGGGAGCGTTACGAGGGAACTAACTCTGCAGCAATGAACCAGCTCTCCGCCGGGCCCCCGTCGGGCCACCAAGCGAACATCGCCTTAACTCTTATGCCAAGTTGCCACACACGAACACAGCTGTTGACGTTCGTTGAAGTCATCCGATACTGGTGTTGAGGTACGCGTCGCCTATAGCCTTCACTCCCCCTGCCCCCCCGCCAATCCTCTTTGGTTGGCTAAGCCCAGTACGCGGTCCGTGATACAACTCTAGCTCGTGGGTGATCAAGTCGGTAAGGGTTCGCATCTCACTTGCGCTCCAGGTCGGCGATGCTCGTGACTCTATCTTGGAAGTACTGAACCATCTCCGAAAAGAGGAAGCTGAAGGCGCTCAGGCTCACCTGTTTCAGGCGAATAAACACATGCAGACGGTTCAAATTCGTGGGATGATCTGGCACAATACTCTAGGTACCTACGAGGTGGGTCCGAACAACGTGACGTTGCACGGGGCGAGCTAGGAAAAGTGTTGTGGAGGGGTGCTCATCATGTATGGATTCGGTCGTGTGATGCACAGCACAGCAGTTGAGTGGTTTCAGGATCTGTCGATGCGGATTGCAAAGCTGTCAAGAATCCAACCGGTGTGCCTACCGCGGGCCCAGAGATGAGACCAAAAGGCAACTACATATGCACACGGATGCACCACCCCGCCAAAAGCCATGCAGGGCCAGAGAGGTGAGATCAACGGCGGAATTGCATCACCGTCCGCATGCAAAACCCTACATCAAACACACGCCAGGCGTTCACCGACTCTCCGACTCTCAAAGAAGTACACCTGAGGGTTTACCATTTGTGATTAGTATCAAATCAGCAAATAATACCAAACAGCGGGAAGAACAAATTCAGCGATTCGCATCTTGTGTAGCACATGCTGTTAAGCGTTGGCGCACCTCCGCCGGCTTTCCGCCCTTTCCTGCTGCCACGATCTGGCGATCCAGGATATGCGTTCGAGGAGCGCTTGCTCTTTTCGCCGAATCCATTGTCGTTGCTCTCCCGGTCCCCTAATGCTGACAGGGACTGGCGTAGAGCCGGTGGGAATCAGGAGAAGTTGGTTATGTCACCCCTACCCCACACAGTGAGCCTGAAGTAGTTCTACGCTCGATAGTCCCGGAACGTCTGTCGCTGCCGCTGCTGCTGGAGAGCCGCTAACGCTTCCAGATGCGTGTTGCGTTGTTCTTCGGGACAGAGAGCGGTTCAGTGAACTAACTCCAAGGACCAGCAGTGCGTTGGCAGGTTTGACCCTTACCAGATTCGTTTCACCACCACAATGCTCGCTAGACATACAAGCGCAGTATGGTTGGGATGATGGTGTGGGTCTTTATAACGTTAACGCCCCAGCAGCAAGCAAGGTGCCGACCTGCCCGAGAGCGCGACAGCAAGAGCGTCGGGGGGGGGGAACACAGATAGGTTTTTGCGGGGTAGGAGCAAACGCCGCCCGAGACTTCTACGGTTTTCTGCGAGCAAGACCCTCCCTGGCGCATCATCGAGCACCCCACCACAGCGTGCAGCGTGGGCAACCAGTGTAGTCGCAGACGATTAGTTGGAGGCTGGCGAGTAGAACCTACCGGGAATATTCTTCTGCTAGAATACGGTGAGATGACAAAGTCAAACACGAGACTCCTGTTCTGCGTTCTCTCTGCTGCTGTCGATTGCTGAGCGTGGCGCAGCAGCGCCTGTTGTCGTTGTGGGTTACGGCTGCTGGTGCTGCTGTCACTTCGTGCATCCACGGCAACATTGAAAACAGGTGGTACGAATGCGCGAAGATGTCTTGCAAGCAAAGGGTTGCATTGTGTTAGCACAGCATTGTCCTCTCTGATCACGCCGTACATCAGGATCTCGAAAGAAAAGAATGGGATCTCCCTCTTGCCGACGAGCGAGCCTACAGCGATACTGCTGTAGATAGCTCACGGATAAGGAGGGCTTGCGCACTAGGCAGCAATGGCTCTGGATACGTGTTTCATCACCGTTGATTGGGGGGTTGCGATGGGTTAATCAGCGTGTGACAAATATCTGCGATGGGCTCTGCACACATTCAC